TAGGAACCCAAAAATCTTATCCGAAAATATTATCCAAATTAATTGTTTAAGTAAACAAAGTTGTGAAAAAAAAAAAACAAAAAAGTGAATAGTATTTGTCATGACAAGCCTAAAACTGTTGGAAACACACTTTGTTTGGGGGGACTAGGGTAGCCACTATTCACATGAATAGTAGCCGCCCTAGGGCTCCCCCTATTGGCAGCCTTGCCTTTTTTTGGTTCCACCCCAAAATGCTAGAGCAAAGGCAATTACTATTTATTTTAATTTATTGTATATTTTTTTATACTTAAACCATTAATTTTGGCATGAAAAGTGAAAAATAGGACTAGGTATTTATATATATAAAAAATTATGAAAATTTTGGTATTTTTTTCGATTTTTTTTTTAAAAATTTAGTTGCTGACGTCCCAGGCAAGATTTGCCTTTGGGCTTGCCCACGCTTGTGGCCCTCATCAATTGCCTGGTCTTGCCGTTGTGCGTTGAAGCCAAAAGATGGACCTAGGCCTCCTGCTGCCCGGGCAAACCAACAACGCTGGACTTGCTCTAACAGCTGAGGTTTGGATTTCGGAGGAGAAACATTGTTTTTTTTTTCTCTTTCTTTCCAACCGTTTACCCCTGAACTATGACCATTGTTGAAATTAAGACATTGAATTAAAAGATCAGCCAATTTAGCCCCCAAATTAATTGAAATATTTAGCCCTTACCATTACTTTTTTTGAATTTCACCCATTTTTCAGTCAAAAAGTCATGTTTAGATGGGGAAATTTAAAAGTACAAAGGATTTCATAAATGACGGAATTTAAAATGAATGAAATTAATGTTTTAGAATTTGTAAAGTTTCTTGTTTGGGTGATGGATTTAAAACACAGAAACCTTTATTTGTGAAGTTATCTCTTGGGATTTTAGAAATGACGACTTAGATAGAATTTAAAGTTGGGATTTAGAATCTCCAAATTTCATGTTTTTTCTCACGCAGAATTTCTAAATTTTTATGTTTTTTTAATCTAAACACGGGAATTGGTTCATGTCAATTTAGAAATTCTGAGTTTTTGTCAAAATTCCAAGTTTATTTCCCTCATCCAAATGCACCGTAAATCACCATGTGACCTACTATTTGATTTTTTTTTATAATAATTATTATTATAAAAAAACTAAAATAGTTAGAACATTAAAAAAAAAAATGAATAAACAACTCTCTCTCTCTCTCTCTCTCTCTCTCTCTCTCTCTCTCTCTCTTTCCTATCAACACTGATATTGTCCCCAACTTAACCACCTATAAAGCCCAATATGTGTTGGAATTTATCACAAAAGGCCTTGGTATTATTAGGAGTGGAACCACTTATTATAAGTTGTAGTTTATTTAGTCAAATTTCTGATATAGGACTTTATATTCTTCAACATGCTCCCTCACGTGGGACCACTACATAGTGGGTGATTATGTCCATATCAAGTCAACATATTGTTGCGTTTGATCACTAGAGAATATTTATCTATATCCGTCACATAGTTGCTTTGTATTTTGGTTTACTTATCAATAAAAACTAAGGGTGGGCTTAATGTGATTTGGTTTGAGTTTCACTCTAAACCACTTATCGAACCATAGCCCTTGGTGAAGGGTTTTCTGGCACTGACGCCAAACCACCATCTTCGGTTAACCGGAGTCCTCAGTTAATCAATCGAATGATTTAGGTTGGCTCGGTTGCGTTTTTTGAGGTGCACAAAGGACTACAACAAAAAGGCAGCAATCTGAGCTCGACAACTAAACCATGTTTGTACCGTAGCTGACCCTTCCACTCACATCATGACACGTGGAAAGAGTACGAAGCTAGGAAACATTGTGGCTCACTGACAGACCAGTTAAGTATGAATCGGCGTCTGCGACCAATTCATCACAAAGCATAGTCCTCCCTCCCCCCCACGGCGCTATAGGCAAGCGCTCCGGGAAGCTCCTCGGACATACGATCGGTGCGCCGTGCCGATTATGCGAGGCGAACTCAAAACCCCTCTCCCCACTTTGATATTTTGCGGAGACTCGTGTCGACCTCAGAAGGCACTCCCACGAGTCCCACATCAAAACTAAGTATTAAGAGCATACCAAGTACTCTTTATAAATAGGGCCCCTTGCCCTAGACAAAGGGTAAGACTTTCAGTTTGATTCTCATGCCCTAGCATTTGTGAAACAGCAAAGCTTTTCCTCAAACTTACTTTAGCATCGGAAGGTCTTCAGCTGGTACCACACCGATGCTCTAGACCTCATCCGTTGTTTCTCTTCTTAGCCCAGGTCTAAGCATCGCATCCCAAGGAAGAACATGCTCGCACAAAGGGCTCACTCGGTCCTTAGACCACCTATGTCACCTGTAAGTTGCATCTATCTCTATTTGTTTAGTTTTAGGGCGAACAAACCTTATTTTATTTTTTAATTCCACTTAAAAACCATTAAATACCATCATTACACAAATAAAATACAACAACAATTGCTACTACCATGTTGACGGACTTTCTTTTAAGCAGAAGGTGATGGTTTGAAACTCTATAATGTCAAAATTTTGCAAAAGTTTAGTATTGTGAGGCGGCCAGTTTGGTTTGAATAAATAATCAGTGGGTTAGTCTGATCCGACTTTCAACCCAAAATTCCGACAAAAACAAAAACCTAGACCAAACCAAACTGATTTCTGCCCAATTTCTCAGATTTTTGGTTTGATTATCCACCCCTAATAAAAACCATAACTTATTCTTTAAAAATAATAATAATAAAATAATTATTAAAATAAAAAAATAAAAAGAAAAAAGAAGAAAAGAAAATTGCAAATTTACTTCATGTGCAAAACGGCAAGTTTAGGCTATAGTAACATTGCACACGAGCAGCAAGTCCACCATGGCCTCGCCTAGGGCCTTCACATTCAAATGCTCTCCTTCTCTCGCCTTTTCCACCAAGACACTCATGGACTCAAAACCCAGAACCCTCCGCAGCCCATTTTCATGTTCAACTTCTGGCTCCCCTCAAAGAGAAGCTCGTTTAAGCGACGCTGTTGAAGGCGCCATCACATTGCAGGAATGGCAGGGTTGGGGCACCACGTCCCCTCTGCCCGCCATGGTTACGAAAATTGTTGAGGATTTGAAGGCTTTGGAAAAAGATATCGATGCCCCGATGAGCTTTGGTGGTAGTGGTGGCAAACTTCAGGTATAACATTTGAACAAATTGTTTTCTCTTTTGTCTTCTGGGAATCCTTGGAGTAATTTTTGTTTTAATGCTATGTTAAATTCGAATAAAGCCAAGGAGGAAATGAAAATTAGATATTGATATGTTGTGTATAGTGCGTATGTTGTTGTTGTTTTTTTTTTTTTTTTTTAAATACGTGCAATATAGCACTATCCATCAGTTTGCCCATCCCACACAATGATACCAAAGCAAAACTCATGGCCTTCCCTATGTATCAAACATGGTTTTGTGGAATATAGGTGTTTAGCATATGCCTTGGTTGCTATAAAATGAAGAAACTGAAGTTCTTTCCAAAAGAAAAGAAGCAACTGAAAAGTTGATATGGGTATTGGAGGAAATCAGCCCTCTTAGCTTTGTTTGGTGCTAGAGGGGAACAAACTGTTGCGGTTTATGTTAGATTATATATGTAGGTCTAGGTTTTTTTGCCACGGCAGCCGCATTTGTCATTCTAGATCTTTGATCAAATGATTTTTGTTTGAATATATGGTCTAGATTGAGAATCTGCCTGACATAACATATAACTTGCATGATAATACACACATTTTTTTTAAAAGAAGAGAATAATACACACATCATCTTATATGTTTTATATATTCTTTCATTTGTTTGTCTTTTGACTGTATTGATGGTGTTTGGAAATTCAAAATGTTGCCATAAAGGCTAAGGTTTTTGCTTTCTTGGGTTACAACTGGTGAAGTCTTAAGAGGTTAAAGTTTTGATTTCCTTCTTTTTTAGCCGTTTCTTATTTTTCTCTGAAAAGAAATGAAGCTTGGTATTTATTGACTGAGAGTTTGAGATTATTTGTGAAAAAAAAAAAAAAAAAAAAAAACATGAGAATGGTGGTGTATATATCAATGGATGTTTATCAGCATCTCTCAATACCATTTTAATATAGATAGCTTAGTTGGTTCAGTGGTCAGGGTGCTTCAGATGTAACAAATTTATACCTTTCTAGACTTATTCTATTAAAGGTTTAGT